CACTGGAAAGAACCTTTACCTAGAACTGTGGATAGGAAAGCAGCCTTGTATACAATTCATTCAGAACCATCTAAGACAAACACGCAGGCTTACACCAAGTACAGAGCAGAAGAAAGAAGCTTCTAAAATGAGATGTTAGCCGTCTGAGGCATCTGCATGGGTTGATGAGGGAGGAGGGGAGATCCTGGAGATCTAGCTTTACCGAGAAGCCTGTTCAAGGTCACAGGATCACTCGCGATGTCACAGCTGAGACTGGACCACAGATTTTCCATTGGCAGGCTGAGGGGCGCTGCTGCCCCCGACCCTACGTAGCCCCACGAAGGTGGGGGAACCCTGCACTCTCCACATCTTCCCACGCTGTGGGACGTGGCCAAGGATCTAGATGATTTAATCCAGTTTTACCAATGAGCTTTTACAACGAGCAATTAAGGCACAGTTAAGAAATTAATCACTAATGAGTTGTTAACTCTGCCCACTATTGTGCATTTAACAAGCTGAGGCCAGATTACTAGAGCCAGTTCCCATTGAAGGGGACGACACTGACACACAGCGCGCCATCGCGGTCGTGAGGGGTCCCATGAGCCCCTCCTGGCGCGGCGGAGCCTCCCCTTTTCCAGGCCGGCGACGACGCAGGAGGAGCCCGCAGGCGGGTGAGGAGCTCGCACGTCCTGATCAGAGGACCTGCCAACTTCTCCTTATTATCTTCCCTAAACGTCTTTTCCTGCTGGCATCCTGGGGCCCGGGCTGGAGGTATGCAGTGGTGGGGGCGGGGGTGGGCAAAGCCTCCGGGGCGGCTGGGTCCCCATCCCGATACTCCTTCCACACGAGGCCAGCAGGAGGGGCGCGTCTCCGGGGAAGCAAGTCCCGGCTGTCCCCGCTGACCCCGCCTCCCGCAAGCGGGCTCTCCAAAGTCTCTACAAAGTCTTTCAATTCACCGACGAATTCGGCAGAGAGAGAGCAGAGCCTGGATTCCCTCCCTCCCCTCGCCGGATTCTCGATTCACTAGGGCGGGGGTGGGGGACCGGCGGGGATTGTCTCCCCTGGTTTGACATGTCCCACCTCCCCAAATATTAACTGTATGTTCAAAATAAGTAAACACAGCGGGGCCGCCCCAGTTCAGTTGTTGACAAATGGGGTCTCCCTGACTCTTCCCATCACCCAGCATAGGATCCCCGCTGGGGCAGCCGAGGTGGGAGCGCGGACCCCCAGGGGTCCGAGAGCGGGAAACCCGTGAGGCACCAGCAGCTTGGATGGGCCTGGAGCCGCACCGCGCGGCCCCAGGACACCGGGCGAGGAGCGCTCCACGGGGCTGCGGCCGCCACTGGGTCCCGGGGCTCCGGAGAGAGGCGACCGGGAGAGAGGAGCCCTCAGTCCCTGCGGTGGAGAAAAATCGCCACCAGAGGCAGGGAGCGGTGGTGCGCGCCGCGAACAAGATACCCTGGTGGGCGGGAAGGTCAGAGATTCCTCCAGATAAAGACTCGAAAACTGAAGCGTCCCCTCCACGCCCCGGGAGACTGACGGAGGCCGGGGGGGTGGGGGTGGCCGGCTCCGCGCAAACTGAGAACCACAGGGTCAGCAGACGGTCTCGGCTGGGTGTCCGCTGGGTCCCCGCAGCGCGGCGGACAGTCCCCTGGCCCGACCGGCGCTGCGCCTGCCTCCGCCAATGCGATGCGTCCCTCCCGCGCGTCCCTGCGGACTGAGCGCGCGGCTTGGGCGCCGCCCGACGCGGTGCCCGGGAGCCGAGAAGGAGCTGTTGTCCTGACTCACCTGCGGCGGGCCAGAGCAGACGGCGTCTTCTGGGGAAGGGTCCCCAAGGCCTCCTTCTTAGATTGACTGGACCCAGGACGGCCTGAATCAAGGCCTGTCTCCCTCTAGGTCGCTGTGCTCGGAACAGCCAGTGTCTTTCCTCCCCGAACCCTGTAAGGCCACTCGCTACTGGTTCTTGTCCCCCTTCAGTGGACCCTCAGGCTCCTCATGGAAGGCTCAAGAACCATTTCCCAAGTGACGCAGGCTTCTCTCGGAGTCCCGTCTGACCGCCCGAAATCCTTGCCTGCCCTGTCTAGCTTTGGAAGCCGGCGCCCCACGTGGGCAGGCGCCTCCGCCAAGTACTTTTCGTAGCCAGGAGCTGGAGTAGCGGCCCCACGTGTTCCAGGGCCGCCCGGGGCTCTAGGCCTCCTCCTTGCAAACCATCCTCACCTTCAGTTTGCGTTAAGGACTGGCTTCTCGCCTCGCCTGCACCCCTTCTGGAACGGGCAGCAAGAATCTCCGGACCTTAGAGCTGCCCGCTAGGCAACCTCCGGGCGCGGGGGTGGAGGTGCGGGTGCGGGGCTCTGGGCCTTGCGCGTTGTCCAGCCTTCCCCAGGAGGCCCAGGAAAGCACTCGCACCTGACACTCAACCCTCAGGATCTCAGTTCCCATGGTGTCTAAATAGCTGTTCTTAAGAACTGAAATAAGGAGCACTTACGCAGCAAATGTTTCCTGGGCATGCGCTGTGATGGTGAGCTGACCCCAACTTCTGGTTGTTTCAGTTCCAGCGATTACAAGGGTGTTACTGGGCACCCTCTCTGTGCCTCAGTTTCCTCGTTTATAAAACAGGGCTAACTGTATCTTCCTGGTAGGGCCGTTGTGAAGCTTTGAGATCGATGAGTCAGCAAATATATGTAAACCGCTCAGAAGCGCTCTGGCGCCTAGTTTTCCGTGATCATTAGCCATTAGCATTTTAATGATCATTTTCCAAGGATTTGCCCCTGAAATCCAGTTACAGTTCAAATTGTTGATACTCAAAGAGGTAGCTTAGGATATTCACTCTTAGACTAAAGTAAATAGTAAAAGAGAAGGAGACAGTGGAAAGTTGTAGGTGAAAAGAAAGAAAGAGAGAGAGAGAAATGGCAGAGAGATAATAGGAACAATCATCGGAATGATGGGAGAGGAGCCAAGGAGATGCCGAAGGTGGGACGGGCAGGGTCTGAGGCGCCCAGGACTGTGATCGGAATGGCGAGGGCCGAGCCAGCGTGGCACTCGCTGGAGGGCCGTGATCTGGGGAATTCTCAGAATAAATTATTCCTAAGTGTCCAAGAATAAAAGAGGACAGGCCACACTGACAGAAGGTCGTCTTGAGTTTATTTTTTTTCTTGCCAAGAGCTGATGTCACTTGGGCCAGTGCATCCATTTCCTCACGGAACAGCCTTCTGAGAGAAAGCGCAGGTGTTCCTCCCTAATCTTGGGGATATAACCGATTTAATACATGCCTACCAACCAGCCTACTACGTGCAAGGCACCAGCGGAAGGTCCAGGGCGCACAGCCCTGTCAGTGCCAGAGCCCCTCCGGACCTGCGCGGCGAGGCCTGAACTCTGCAATGACACTCCTTCTGTCCCCCGTCCCGGGACAGCCTTCCTTTCCCCACGGGGGTTTCAGAAACCCACGCTCAGCGAAAGGGCGCTGGGCGGATCTGAGAAGCGGCCCGCCCGCAGTGTGTGTGGCCTCCTGCCGGGTCATTCAGAGTTTACACAAGGGACTTACAGGAGATCCGATTCCACCTTTCCCACCCCCCGAGAGGTCGGGTTCATTCCGACGAGGAACGAGGGGCTGGGTGGTTTACCAACGCGCTGACCACCGACATACAGTAGCCGATCGATGCGTAGCAAGGGGGCCAGAGGCACTGCGCGGCGCGAATCCGGGTTATTCCCGCGGTCGCCCAGCTTCCAGGGTCAATTCCGGAAACCGCAGCTGCTCGGGCTGGGAACCCCTTTCCTCGGGATTCCGCGAGACCTCGGGGGTTCTGAAACCCCGCGGGGGCCCTCTGGATTCCTTCCGCACCCCAGAGCAGGGGCCAGAGAACTGCGGAGAGTGTCCACGGTGCCCCGCGAGGATGTGCCCTCCTGTTGGGCAGAGGGCGCTCAGGACGCAATCCTAGAGCGCCGCAGCTACCCCGTGGTGGGTTAACCGGAGTCGCCGCGTTGGGGGTGCGGAGCGAGTTGGGGAAGGGGGCGAGAGAGGCGCGGGGCTCACAAAAGTCGCTCTGAGAATTCGGAGGACTAATGTCATCGACCCTGGTTAGCAGGGGCCGGTAAAGACCTGGTGACCTCAACTATGATCTGAGAGGGGCCTGGGTCTCGGCACAGGGAAAAGACGGAGACGGGGCGCTAAGGGCTTCGTGACGTTCTGCTCTCACCCTGGGAAGGCGGTGTAGACGCTTCCCATTGAGGTCAGTCCTGCAAAGCGGCAGCCTCAGCCGGACTTGTGATGTGGCTCCAAATACCGCACAAGCCACACACGCGCACGCGCCCTTCAGCGCCAGGGAAGGGGCGGTTCTGGTCCGGGACGCCCGCAGCGACCGGAATGGGGCCAGGGTGTCCAGCATCCGCCGCAGTGCAGCGTCCCCAGGAGGACACCTTGAGGGAGACTGGGCTCCTCCGCGCGCTCCTCTGCGTTCCTCGACCCACCGGGTCCGACACCCCATTCCCATTCACACCTTCCTCCCCCCACAGCAGTCCTGCGCGCGCTTAGCTAGAGTCAAACCAGGACAAGTAAACTTTTAATTTTCCTCCCAAATACTTTGAAACTACTTATACAAACAGTTCTTCGAACTCTATAACCCCGCCTCCCTTTCCTCCCAGTTGTCGTTATCTGGGGTTGCCACATCGCCCGGGAGGGGCCGAGGTCAGGCGCTTTGGGTCCCTTGAACCTGGAGGCTCCAGAGCCCCGGGGGTGGGAGCAACGTGGCTGGCGGGGCCGGGCTGCCTATTCCGCTCCAGCAGCAGGGCTGGGGCGGGGGGCCGCTGGGGGGTTGGGGTGGCCAAGGCGCCTCGGCAGGCCCGAGGGTCAGTCCTCCCGGTGAGTGAGGAGCAGACGCGCACCCAAGGCCCAAGCCTGGCGGCAGCTTCGGGCGGCTCCGGGAAGGAGTGGCCGAGTCGAGGGACCCAGGGAGAAGGGATGCACGCTTGCGGCTCGGGGTCGGCTGCCAGGAAGGCTGTCCGCCCCGATATGGTCCCCGGTGTCCCTAGAGGGCCTGCCACGGCCTCCCGATGGCCTGGATGTGCTCCTTGGCCTTCAGGCGCAGCGACGCGATGCTGCTGTTGCGCGGGTCCACCTCATCCAGCGGGAACTTGTCCCCAAAGCCGGGCCCGCAGGGGTAGGTGGGCGGCGGCGGCGGCGCAAGAGGCTGCAGGCCGGGGCCCAGAGGCGGCGAGTTCAGGAAGGGCGGCGGCGTGTAGCTGGCGGGCAGGCTCTGCGCCGGCGGCCCGAAGCCCGGCAAGCTCTGCAGCGCCGTGGCGCCGCCGCCCGGCAGCGGCGGCCCGAGCCAGGACTCCAGCGGCAGGGCGCCCCCCGCCGGTCCGCCACCGCCGCCCGGGCCCGCCCCGAGGGGCGCCAGAGTCGTCGCGGGCGGAGAGCGGCTGAAGGAGAGGAGGGGCGAGTCCTGCAGCTTCATGGACGACACCTCCAGCTTCTCCTGCCGCCGCCACTTGGCCCGTCGGTTCTGGAACCACACCTGCGGGAGGGAGGCAGCACAGCCGTGGGGCGGCAGCCCGGCAGCTCCACTTCTCCACCCCAACTGAGACTGGGGCCCGCTATGTACCGCCTGCTCCTGTCACCCCTACCCGTGTTATCCTTCATTTTCCGTCCCATTTTCTCCTTTTTGACCCTTTCCTCCTCCTTTCTTGTTTCCTCCGGGTCTCTTTGTCTTATCCTTGTCCTCCACAGGTTCCCACCCTTGTCCCTGTTTACCTCACCCACAGCTGTGGTTGCACCTGTGTCCCAAAGGAGTGACATTAACCCTGCAATCGGACGGTAGGACTTTCGTGGAATCCAGACCTCGCCCAGTTTCTGTGACCTGCTGGCTGGCAGCCCCTCCCCACACGTGGGTTTGGACTCTTCCTCCCTGTGTGGTTCAGCTCTCGGTGGCCGCCCCTGTCTCAGACTGTCTGTGCTTTACTTACCTTTCATCTCCATTGTAAACGTGTGTATAAACAAAGACCCTAAGTACTGTAACCCGCACTATTAGATGCCCAAGTACAGCTATTTCTACAAATTACCGGTTATGATAACTAGTAGAAAAGCATGAGTTTATTTTATCCCAGCATATTTGAGTTGCTGCTCTGATAAGATTTTCATTTTCATTTTCATTTAATTGATATTCATTTAGGATTTCTGATGTTTCTTATAAATAGCTTTTGATGATTACCATAGTTTATCCTCCCTACTTTTAATTTATGGACTTAGTTCTGCCATTACCTTAAGATGGATTCAATCTTTACATATAGAAAGTCCATGCCAGAGTGAAGTCTGGTCCCTTATCCATGAAACTTCCATTATTGATTTGATAAAAGCACAAGATAGGGTGTAGCTAGGGCATTACCACCCTCAGGAACAACAGAGAGAACTGGTCTAGCCTAGTGGGGTATCTGGAAGGAACTCTGGCCAAACTGGTGACTTCAGTGTTGTATGTATGAAGGGAAATTGGGGATTCGTTGTGACTTCAGAGGGGAGAAAGCAGTTTTCAGTCAAGGGGGGGCACCTGAGGGTGGGCTGAGAAGCGCGCTACCCAGCACCTGAGCGGAGCAGGCCAAGTGTACGCAAGGCTGGGACTTGGGAGGGGGAGAGAGGAAGAACCACACATGCAAGTATCCCTGCCTCCTTCCCACAAAATACTCATCTGCATATCTGAGGCCCCGATTTTCCCAGAAACAGGAGATGTCTGCTGAAAATAGAGAAAAGAGAAAGCCTGGCCTGGGGGAGGGCTCCCGTCCCCCTCCGCACCCTTCTGTTTCTCTGCACGCCCCACTCCATCCCCCCAAGTGTCTGCTATGGTCTTCAGACGCAGCACCCCAAGTAGGAGGGCTGAAGGCCAGGACAGTCAGCTCCCATACAGCTGCCCTCCACGCGGCTGGAGGCCAGGCCCAGCTCTCCCACCCCTGTCTGATTACATCAGAGTCACGTAGAAAGAACCCGCAATATGCTGGGCACTGTGACGGCCCTGTGGCCACTGAAATGTCACAGACGTTGCTCTCAAGAAACTCACAACTTAGAGGACAAGCCAAAGGCCCCAGCAAGTAAAGAGGGAGAAAGGAAGGCGGGACCGAGGTGGCCTCGGGTAGGAAGGCTGCCCCCGGACTGGCTGTGCCTCTAACTGCAGGTGCTCGGGAAGGGGCGGCCTCTCCTCTCTCTTCATGATTCCCTTGCATGCTTTTCATCTCTCTTCGTCACTTTCCTCCCTGAAAAGCAGGTGCTACTATGTCCACTCCTTCAATGAAATCATTGTGGCTTTACTGCCCCAAATGAAGAGACACTGAACTGTCCTTGCCAGTTAATCCCAACTCACATTAGGGAACCATGTTTTCAAACCATGATGTTTACTCATTACTTTAAACCCCCAAACGAAGCAGAAGAGACAAAAGCAAGAGCTTTTCTCCTTTTACTTTTAAGACAAGGCCAAAAGCCCCCAAACGTCTGAGCATCTCACTTCCTGGAAATCTAATTCATTAAACACACACACACACAAAACCCATCTTTGCTCTCCTGCCTTTCAGATGCAGAGAAACTTGTTCCCAGTGACTCTTTTTCAGGCCTCTGTAAACTCTCCCAATTTGGAAATCCTCCCAAATTTTTTACAGATGACTAGCAAATATTTAAGGCTTTCAAATATTTTAATGATCAGGGATTAAAGATAATTCAGCTTTAATTAAGGCCAAAGCCCCTTTACAGCAAAAAGAAAGGCCTCTGCAGCAGCGGGAAGTTTGGGTGGATGTGCACCAGAGAAGCAAAAGTCAGGTCCTTAAATAAATCCACCGCAAGTTTCAGCTGCAGGCGCCAGGCTCCTCGCAGGAAGACAGGGTTGTTGTTTTAAACAGGGTATGTGCAGCTAGTGACTAGGGTGTCATTTGGCACTCCCGTCCGGTGACCCTCAAATGCTGCCTATATTCCCTCTCTATTCAGCAATCACTGCCCCCCAAAACACTGGCGCCCGTACACACACACACACACACACACACACCCATTCAGGGTTTAATGAGCGGTCACCTCTTCGCCTCAACTACCATTCCCAATTCCTGTCGTTAGCTCAGAAGAGAGAGACCCCAAAAGGGAGAAGGAAACTGCCGCCTGGAACCGAGAGCCCGAAGGATGGTGCATGGGGCACGTGGACGACCTGTGACGCCCCTTTGGGGCTCTGGGCCAGCCAAGTAGAGGAAAGCCAACGGGAAGAGTGTCATCATAACCGCGTGGACTCCCGGGGATTCAGGGGAGCATTGGCTAGGGCCCTCCCGGGGACCGATCTAGGCGCATTACCTGGACCCGGACCTCAGGTAAGTTGACCTTGCCCGCCAGCTCCTCGCGGCTGTACACGTCGGGGTAGTGGGACTTCTCGAACGCACGCTCCAGCTCGTGCAGCTGGTACGTGGTGAAGGTCGTGCGGTTCCGCCGGTGCTTCTTTTTGGGTGGCTCCTCCTCCGACAGTTTAGCGTCCCCGGCAATAGGTCCGACAGGCAGTCCTGGGCTCGGCCGCGCCTCCCCCGTCTCCTTGGGGCAGTAGGGGCGAGGGGCTGGGACGACGGGGCCGCGAAAGGTCAGAGACACTCCCTGGAGTATTCCTGGGCCCACCCGCCCACCCATGGGCACTGGCAGCCAGATTTGGGCTTTCAGATGGCCTGGCTGGGGTTTGGGGGTCGAGTGAGGGCTGCGAGGAGCCCCTAAGCGTTTTCTCCGCCTCCAAGTTGGAAGCTCCTGCTACACTTTCGTCGCCCGATCCCGCGCCCAGGCTCCTCAATAAAAATTAAGGCAGGGCCTCTGTCCTCTTGCAGAGTTTCCTAAATTTGGGCCCCTTGCGGCCTGGCCCCATCCCGGTTGCACACTTACCTTCGTACTCAGGAGCCGGCGCCGGGGCCGGCGGCGGGGAGGGCTCAGCTCCTCCGCCTGACGCCTTGGGGCAGGCGGCCCGCGCACCCGGCCTCCTTTCCCACTCCTTGGCTCCCCGGACGCCCGGCTCCGCCGGGAAAGAGCCGAGGATCCCGTCATCCTTGGTAAAACCCAGGATGGCTTCGATGCTGTGCAGCCGCGAGGTACTCCCTCCCGGGCTGCGGAGCAGGTGGCCGGCGAGCGAGAAGCTGCCGTCGGCCATGGCGGAGGCGCAGCCGGGCAGGTGCATGGGTCGGGGCGGGGGTGGGGGCAGGAGGGCGCGGCCCGTGCTCTCGGCAGCGCCGTCTGCTTTGGAGACAGAAGGGGCTCGAAGTCGGTGTTTCCCGCGTGCGGCCGTCCAACCCGAGAGCTACGGATCCAAGGTCAGCCCCCGGGGCGGCGGGGGGCGGGCAACGCCGGCGGGGCTTCCCGCGCTGGAAGTGGGCGAGCGCTCGGCCCGCGGCCGCCTGGGTCACTGCAGGAGTCGGAAGGTGCTACTTGCGGGAGCTGGGGCTCCGAGCGCTAAAGCCTGCGAGCCCGCTGACCCGGCTCCTCCCCTCTGGCTCCGGGCCCAGCCCCTTCCCCCCGGGACCCCCCTTCCCGCGGCGGGGCGGATCTTTCTCTCGCCCAGACCCCAGGCGAGGGCAGCACTCGGGACCTTCCACCTTTCACCTGTGGATTCGCCCCAAATACTCCAAACACACTCCGGGGACAGGCGGCGGGATGTTCGACAGGCCTGGGACGGGGTTCTGGGAGTCCCGCCTCAGTGGGGCCGACGCCTTTGGTCTCACCTCCTCCCCTCGGACTTGCCTGGGGCTCACCTATCCCTTCGCCACCCCCGCCCAGGACGCGCCTCCGCCCTTAGACTCTCCCCTCCGCAGGACTGAGCATCCGGGGTGACCCTCCGAAGGGATTCTTGGCTGCACGGCGTTGGAAATCAGTCGGGCATCGCCTCTGTTTGAATTTTTCCGTCTCCCTCCCTCTTCTGACCTGTCCCCCTTTCGGCTCCGTAGTCCAACCGGACTCCGGGCTTGTTTGCCTACACGTTGTAACTACTCCTGTCTGCCCCCTCGGACAGGCGTGCCTGCGGGCTTGCTCGCGCCAGTGCCGCCCCAGGGGACGGTGGGGCCGTCCGCATCTGCACGCCCGGGGACCTCTAGCGCCCGACGGCCCAGCAGGAGGCTGGCCACCGCCCCGCTCCACCCCCGTCGGACGCGCTGCGGGCTCAGGCCCGGAGGGAGACCCACTAGGGTTCCTCACGCTCTCGGGTTGTGTTCTGCGGGAACGCTCCCCACCAACCCGTTCTCCAGGCCCAAAAGACGGCCCAGACTCTGGCCCAGTGGGGAAGGACCCTGAGAGGTGGGGGGAGGCCTCCAGCCTCTTGTGGGGGGGGGCGCTTGCCTTTCTTTCCCCTTTTGGAGGGATGACTCGAGGCTTCCATGGCCCAGAGTGACTCCAGAGGCCGAGTGGAAAGGTGATTTCTGCGGGGGGAGTGGTTCCCCTCCCCCACCTGCTGTGACCGCTGGCACTTCTCAAATCCGAGGCTGGACCGAGGCGAGAGCGCGGCCTTCCCTGAACTTAAATGCTTCAGGAGAAGCCTAGGACTTACAGGAAAGGACCTAGAGATTCTTTCAACTTTTGCAGCAGGCGCCTTGATCTCCATGCAGGGCCGTCCCCTCCCCCGCCCCCGTTTGTTTATTGCTCTTTGCGTTCAGACAAGCGTTTACTGCGTTCTCTCTGAGAGTCCACCTCGGACGTGGGCCGCGCCAACCCCACAAAGGAAGGGAAAGGCCAGGGCCGCTGGCTTTGAGGAGCTTAAGGTCCAGCCTGGAAGACAAGAGAAAAGAAACAAGAGAAAAACCACCTATCTTAGGCTCCTCCACCTTTAAATTGGCGTTAGAAGGACATTGAAAAGGACATGTGACTATACTAAGGATCGTAAATGGGCAAATGGAGGGGAGGTAATTACACAAATCGCTTTATTTTTAACACAGCCATAAAGAGGTAAATTAAAATAACAAGCATATGCGTTCGAAGCAGACAGAAATTGAGCTACTAAATGAAGTTAAATTAATGAAAATCAGTATCTGCTTTATTGTGTTTGCAGGTCGCTTTATAATTTTCAGAATCCTTTCACATTCTTCCTTGCACCTGATCCGCACACCGTGTAAGGTGAGCAGACCAATGTATTCGTCCTCATTTTACAGAAGAGGAAACTGAGTCCAAAGCTATTCAGTGGAAGAGTCAGGACTAGAACTCAGACCTGCTGACTCCTCATCCCCAGTTTTCCAGCAGCAGCTCGTTTGTAATGATTTATTGTAGAGGGTGATGTTTTGAAAAGAATCAAAGCACAGCTTAGCCTAAAGGTGCCTTTGATTCTTCCCAGAGACTGAATCCTTCATCCAGGAGGCTGAGGAAGAAAGAAATGAAGTCAGCATGTGCAGAGGCCTGTGGTTGTCCAAGAGGACTGACGAGGTTCCCCCGCCACCCAGGCGAAGAAGCCTGCCCCAGGCTGTGCTCAGACTTCCTAGTCTGTCCGGGGCACTGCCGCATCGGCCTGGTAGCACCCCACAAGGTCCCCTGTACCAGTTACACAGTCCATGTAGCTGGGATGCAGACACCTGGGGGACCAGAGGGCAGCCTTCAGGATAATTAATTGGTGTTTGCTGTTTCCTCTCTTACTGAGAAGGCTTTTTATGTAAACTTGCCCAATATTAAATTGATCTCTATAATTACCACTAAGCAAAGATTGGCAGCGTTTTCTTAAGCTCCTGCCCACACGCTTAAGGGGCTTAGGGCCTTGTTTTCCAAAGTTAATTCCCTCTGGAAATGCCCAGCTCTCCCTAATAGGCCCAGGTGAGGTTAGCTTTTATTTATTGTTTATTTCAGAATCTGGGGGGGGGGTGCGGGGAGGGGAATGCAGAAAAGACTTCAGCAGCCACTGGTGAGGGACTAGGGGGGAAACAGGGCCAAGCAGGCCAAGGGGAGGTTGGGGCTTCCTTTGTGAGCGACATAAAGAGCTAGTCAATACCATTGTGGGCACGGTGGAGGGTACTCCAAGCAATCAGCCGGGGGTCATTGTTAGGGGTTAATCTACATGTGTATTTCCCAAGAACTCGATTAGGGAGGATGAATGGACTCGCCCTTGTCCCTAATTCTTCTAGCACTGAGCGGCAATTTTCCAGCAGTTACGCCAGCCCGCAATCAGCCCAGCTTCAACACGAGTAAGGAGCCTGGCTTCTGAACTCCACCTCTGTTTAATTCATTCATTCATTAGGTGGATCAAAGAAAACTCCCCCCTCCCACCCATCCACATGGGGGCTGAACTGAGACACAAGCCAACCCCTTCAAACCAGGCATGGTTCAGAGAAACATTTCCAGGAGTGAGGAGAGTAGGGTGAGTGGGGCACGGCAAGGGGGGGCGGTTCTTAAGAGAGGGTGGCTCTGTGTGACATGGGAAGGACAAGGCAGACGACTAAAGTTGGGAGAGAGATTTGGGGGAGAAAGGAGAGAGAGCCTGGCTAGTCCCAACAGAACAAAATCTAAGTGTAAGCAGTGATTAGGTAGGAGGAGTTATAGCATAAAGTGGCTCTTTTCCCTTGGATGTATGCAGGAGGTCCCATTTCTGGAAGTTTTCAGGGCAGACTGCTTCACCCACTGCACCCTAGAGAGAAATGGGCGTCTATAGAGTTCCATGAGCACTGGGTGGGCAGGGGGCGTGGTCACAGAGTGAGCTCATGCCTTTTGACCCCAACCGTGAAGTCGTGTTTTAGGTTTGGGCAAAAAAATGTCTGTTGAAGGGCCTGTAGGATATCACTTCGTAAAACATAGAAAACGACTTGACTGTCAGCATGTAGGCCTTCCCTGCAGCAGGTGGAGTTGAATCCCAGTGGAGTAAGTCCCGGGTCTCACCTCTGTGCTCACCCTGGAAGGGCAACTTAACCTTGGTTTTAGCCAAAGCAAAACACAACTCATAGAATCATTACACACACATACGCACGCAGGCACGCATCCGCACACATGCACATACACAGAAGTCCAACAAATACTAACTCCATGCCAGCCAGCACTCTTTCCAGCACTTCACATGAATTTCCTAATCAGTCCTCATGATAACCCTGTGAGGTAGACACTGTTTTCTGTACTCAGATAAGGAATCTGAGACACAGAGAGGTTAAGTCATTTGCCGAAGGTTGTACAGCTGGTGTCAGGTGGGGCCAGACTTGAACCCAGATGTTTTTCCAGGAAAGCATCCACCTAACCACTATGTGTACTACTTCCCAATGTGGTATCATCTGCGCTGTTCAGATAAAGTAAGAAAATGTGGGAGTTAGAAGGTGCAAAAATATGGTACCATGGTTTAGGTTTTGGTGATGTGGGAGTAAAAAACATGATGGGCGCTCTATAATTTATTTGGCCAGTTATGATGAGGGCAGGAATGCTTAAAAATAAGTTAAGAGTACCATTTAATTTCCCAAGGCTGTCTTACAGAGTTTAGGGAATCCTTTCTCTGTTCTCAGAGTTTCGATTCACTCTCAGTGGTTTGTAAACAATGTATTTGAAAGCCCCTACGTGTGTCGCTTGGTTTGTCTGCCTTGGGTGCCGCGGATTTCCCCCATACTGTGTTCTATAGTGCATGCCGTGCGCAAGATATGTATGTAGCTGACAATGGTTGCAAAAAAAAAAAAAATCAATAACTAAACTCTCTCTTTAATACTCAGGGATGCTTGTTCATCTCTCACTACACCATCTTCCAAATCAATGAAATATTTTCCTACTTGATAGCACCACAGAAGCTACATCAAGAAAATATTCTCGAGATACTTATCAGAAATGCCATTTTTACATATAGACAACTAATAACGAATATCCTTGGTCACATTTATAATGTGAGCACAAATGATAAACACTTTTCTTGTATACTAGTTTATGAGTCAGTGTGACAATCTGAATATTCTCTAGTATTTTCAGGCTAAATCAAAGTGTTGATATAAGGATACTGCAGTGAATAATAACGCCAACATACCTATGTGGCTAAAATACACAAATCAATGAAGATGGGCCCAGGTAGGCATTTCTATCTGAATGGGAGCCCGCTCGGATGAGCACGTGGAAACAGACATCTCATCTGATTATAAGATGAAACCAAGGGCAGCTGGAAGCTGTTGTATTTTCCGGTGGTAATACCCTGTTTGAAAGACTTCCTTTTGTGTAAGAACAGGGACCACAGCTCTCAGCAGACCAGCCAGTAATTGGCAAGAGGTCTCTCCTCCTTTGGCACTCTCTCAGTTTCCCAGTTATGGTACTTTGGGGAACAACACCATGAAACTAATCTCAGGTTAGTTTTCTGTTATTTCAGAGAATCATGTGTTTAAGACTTAGGCAGGAGAAACTTGGTGATTATGGTGTGGACTCTCTCACTCCTAGCTCCCACATTTTCTTTATCCATCTGGAAATGGGGGCCTAGAGGGACTAATGGGTTTGCCCAAGATGAACAGACCTCTGTGGCAGGCCTTGTTCCCCAACACTCCCTTGGGCCGCCGGGCCGAGCTGCCTGGGCCCTGCGCTTGGATGCCCCATGCTAGCACTCAGACTAAGTCTGCGTATGGGCCTGGGGGGATGGGTTTGTTGTACAGAAACAATGAAGTTGCTCTTCGCATGACTCCCCAATCATTTACCAACCCGATTCCCATAGTCCTGAGCTTGCTTTTACAGTTGATGCCAACATCCAAGTATCCTCTATGTAAGAAAAAAAAAGAATCTCTTGGCAATAGATTTGCATGGCATGTTGGCAAACAACTGATATTCTTACTGACTGGCTTGGAAGATGATGGTTAGCCCCTCTTCCCAGCTCTGAGGTCAGTGCCGTCACATTCGTAGCTTACAGCTCACCCGAGTGGGTGGCCTTCTCCCACAGAAATGGGCAAACTCTAAAAATCCAGGTGTTCTCCCTCCTCCCCACCCTCAACACCATGAATGACTTTTCAATATTTCCTAGCATTCCATTCAAGAGGGAAGAAATCAGAAAATATTATAATTACAACTAACATGATCTATGGGATAAGAGATGTTGGTCCACCTTTTCACAAAAAAAAAAACAAAACAACAAAACGGAACATTTACATCCTTATCTCAGAGTATGTAAATAAAAGAGGGAAACTTGGGTTCCTGCCCAAGAAATGGACTTTTTTTTTTTCTGGGTTGCTAGGAGCAAAGCTATATTAAGATAATTCCTCTTTATGTGTTTTCTAATTAAACTAATTGAACCCAGAGCGTCTAGGGGGAGCACAGAGACATTTCTCTCGAGGGGACGGCGGTCTTGAAGCCAGTCAATCCTCTTACAGGGCTAAGAAGGCAAACCCACGGATGCCCACTTTGCAACAGCCTTGACCTGGCCCCCACCCACACAGCTGGGCTGTCTTCAAGATTCTTCTTTCCTCTTTTACTATTTTTTTCTGAAAAAAACAAAACAAAACAACAACAAAAAAACATTATCGGGGAGCTAATTCTCATTTCATTTTCACACACCCTAGGAGGTCCGTATTATTATAATGCTTTCTTTCCCATACCACCCACATTCCATACACCCCTTTGGCTCTCTTTCTGGAATATTTCTTATGTCTGGACACTCTTCTCTGTCTCTACCACAATGTAGGCCATTGTCCTATCTTTCTCGGACAGGTTACTGAATTAGCCTCTTGCTGGTCTCCAGTCTGCTTCTCTTAGCTCCCTGCCCTCTACTTTCCACTCAGCAGCTCGATTATCTTTCAAAAATATAAATCAGATCATACCACTCCCTGCATACTACCCTCCAAAGCCCAACTGTTACACTTAGCATAAGATCCAAACTCTGTGTACTGCTGTCTAAGTCTTACCCCTTTCCCATTTCTCAAAGAGCATTATTGCATACTTCCGGCCACTCTCCAATCTGCCCCAACTTGCTCACGGAGCTACAGCCGCACTGGCCTTTTTCCTCTTCTTGAAATCCTCCAGGGCCCTTCCTGCCTCAGGACCTTTGCACAGACTATTCTCACTGCCTGAAATGCATGCCCCCCCCAAAAGTTCACATGATCCTTCTTGTCACTTTATTTTTCCCATAGCACCTTCCACTCTCCAAAACTATTTGATTATTATTGGTTTACTTGTTTGTTACCCATCTAGTGTACCTTCACTAGAATCTAAGCTGCATGAGAAAAGGAACTTTTCTATTGGCATCCAAATATATGTTGCACATAGTGGTGGTTGATTTCATGACTAACTGCAAGGAACTCTATTTTACAGATGTGGAGACAAGTTAAGTAACTTGCCTAATTTCACACAGCCATTCATTAGCACGGGGGCACATTTTTTCCACACTCTTATAATCAGTCATCAGCAGTTTTTCTACCATTTTAATTCTTTCCCAGATGTTTTGAAAGTGTCAAACTGCTTTGCTTTCCTTCCCAAAGAGTCCAGAGAAACCATTCACTCCTTTTCCAAAGCGAGTTCGATCTGCTCCAGTCTTGGTAGCCTTGGCGCTGCCTGGGTGTCCTCTCCGCCTGCGACGGGAGCGTGCGCGGAACGAGGAGTCCGGTGCGCTCAGCCCCACTTTGCTCACTGAGCGGGGTGCACCGTCTTAGGGAGCTCCCTTCTTCCTCCCAGTGGCTCCTGCAACACTACGGCAGACTAAGGGCTTTAGTCTGCTTTTACAGTTGACAGCAATTTTATGGACATTCTTTTGTCCATTTTTGTTGCACTTTCTCCTTTGACCCCTTCATTCCTAAAAATGCTGATCTTCTTGTCCTGACCAAACTAATTAGCCCGTTTTAACCACCAGATGCTTTCAATAAGGCTGTCGGGATGCTCCCACGGCGGTCCTTCACGCAAATGTCAGGAGCTTACCACACACTGCAGGGTAAGTTAAGGGAACGAGCTTTAAAGAAATACAGCTTGGAAATCTGTGAAGGTTTTCTGAAATGATGCGAGAAAACAAGCAAGCATTTGTTGGTATATACCTGCTATCTTTCTCTAGTTCCAGGAATTAGACACCATTCAAGAATGATGCATCAGTATGCAGATGGAGTTGTAACCACATAAAGTAGTTTTCCAAGGATAGCTGCACTTGAGGGCTAAACTTGGATACATGTGGATTTGTTGACTTATATTTCTACTTTTGGTAAGGTTTGGAATTTTTCCACAATGAAAAGTTTTTTTAAAGGCAAAAAAATGACAAGAGTTTTGAATTTGAATTTAATTTGTATGACACCTAATTTTATAACATTCTCCAAGCATAATTTTTGTAGCTCCCCAAACCGTCCTTTTGAAAATATATATAATCGATTTATTGTGAAGGATTGCACACATAGACAAAAGGGATTAAAATGCAAATCACACGTCAGTGAGACCTTAGAAGATCGGCTGCCTCTTGCACGTGCCCCAGCTGGGCACCAAAGCCGCACCCAAGCGTGTAACCTGACTGGGAATTGAACGGGTGCCCTTTCACTTTGCGGGATGATGCCCAACTGACTGAGCCACTCGGTAGCGTGCTACCGTGATATCTTTTTGACTTAGTGCTACTTTGGAAGTTTATAGTCAAATGTTTGAATATTTCTAATTTTATATATGTATAAATTTTATTTTTCAATAAAATTTTAGTACAGTTCTGTATTCAACATCATTTTGTATCCAAACTATTGGAATTTCACCCAAATTTGCTGGAAAGAAAAAAATGAAAGCAGGGACTAGAATAGATATACTTTTAAATTTCTTTATTTATTGATTGGCGGCAGAGAGGGAGGAATTTGTTGTTCCATTTATTTATGCATTTATTGATTGACTCGTAGATGGAGAGCAGATGACAGCTGGGGGCGCGGAGGGTAAGGGGCAGAGGGATGTAGCGAAAGGGAAAAAGGACTCACGCACATGGACAGCAGTGTGGTGATAGCTGAGGGTGGGGAGGGAAAAGGGGACTAAATGGAAAAAAATACAATAAAAATTAAATAGAAAAAAAAATTCAGAGACTGAAAGTAGCATGGCAGTTGCCAGGCTGGGGAAAAGAAGAAATGGAGCGTTAGTGTTTAATGGGTACAGAGTTTCAGTTGGGGAAGCAGGAAAAGTTCTGGAGATGGATAGTCCTGGACACCTAATCATTTGTTTTATTTGCATATTTTCATATCATGAAACTTCGTATACAACACATTCAGGAACTCTGGGTATGGAGCAGGCTAGTCCCTCATGGTTTTAGTTCCTTTTCCTCCAACAGAGCAGATCTTTTTGATAAAATCTGTCTTTGAGAATCATCTGTTCTGTACATACACATTGGCTTTGATTAAATGGGTCTCTGTGTTTCAGAGGCAAATGTTCTAAGCCTTTTGGACAACTCCCTCTGAAAGAGAGCGAATGCTAGGAAAAGGAAGCCTGTGTCTACCCTGGGAGACGGTGGGACAGAATGACAGAAGGATTTATGGGACCCTAGTCTGAAGGGGAGGGACAAGAGAGGAAAAAGAAGAAGGAGAGGCAGGAGAGGGGGCTAGAAGAGAATGAGAAAGAAGTGGGGGCAGAGAGAGAAAGAGAGACACAGAGAGAGAGGCCGATAGAGCTTCTCTACGTTTCCAGCCCCTTGGTTCCCACTGCTATCACCAAGTTCAGGTCAGAGGAGAGAATGCTGAACGAAGAACGGCGACCGCCTTCCCAGTTGTACCTGTGCCTCTAGTTTCACCCCAAGTCCATTCTTCACACGGCCTCCCCAAGACTAAGGGCTACGGGAGCCTGTCCTCTCCCTCCATTGCTCTTCTTTTAGCCCATCCCCACAGCTGGCCACACTTGATGAGAAGCATCGGTGGCGCCAAGGAGCCTGTGAGTAAGAGGTGGTGTGGTCTTTGCTTGCCAGTGGGTCTGCAGCCGGGGAGCCTGGTGGCATTGTGACCTCCCACATCTTCCTCTAAAGGGACCTGGAGTCATGCTAATGATTGGCCAGGCTGAGACCTTACCCTCTAAGGAAGGAAGCTGAAGAGGAAATCCCAGTTGCTTTTGCTGCTTTCTGGCTGTCCTGAGATCTTTAAGCAGGTATGTGCTCTGCATCATTCGCAGCTGAAATTCCACGCTTAGCTACATTTATAACGAAAAGGAAAGTATCATGTTCCGCTGCCAGGCGCTAGCTAAACATTCTACCAGCGACAGTTAGAACGCCAGGTTGTTGTGTATGTGTTTGGAGAGAGTTTAGTTGTCATGGTGTTTCTGACCCTGTTCCCTATGTTGAAGTGTGTGCTGCTCAGAAACGTTCCATTCCGCCCCTCACATCACGGAGCACTTCTGCTCCGCCGTCTGCTTGATTTCCGTGAAGGTGGCCTGGGCCTTTTCTTTTATGGTATCCAAGTCCATGTTCTGCAGATTCTGTAACTGCCCAAGAATAGAATCCTTATCTTCTTCCTCTTCTTGATCCTCATCCACCATTCTCCGGAGATCTTCGGGCAAATCCACATCGTTTCCAGCCATCTGGATTCGGTTCTCATCCATTTCACTCTACGCGGAAAAACAAATGCAAAGCTAGAGAGGCCACTCCAAAACACAGACAGACAGACAGACAGACAGACAGACAGACAGACATTCACAGCAGCAGCAAAATAAAGGCCTGTTGAGGGATGAAGGGAATGGGGTGCTTGGCTGGGCCTGGTGGCTGCCGTGGGGCCAGGGGTCCTGGTGGGGACACCCCGCCTTCAGTGCATGTGGGTGGATCAGCACCTCTAGCACAGTGGTTTCCAGAGTGTGGTCCCTGGACCCAGCAGCCGCAGCATCCTCTAGCAACGCGTTAGAAAGAGTCATTTTCAGCCCCGCCCCCCAGACCTACTGTACCCGACACTCCCGGGCGGGGCCAGCACCCTGTGTTTTAAGAAGCTCTCTCTGTCTTGCCGATGATGCAGAGTTTGAGAATCCATACCAGCCTGGCTGGGCAGCTCTGCAAGCTTGGGTGTCTATCAGCCCCAGGCCATGGCCCTGGCCGTCTTATTCTGGAGCATAGGGTTTGGGTTCCCGCTGGCCTGGCAGTGCTCCGCCATTTTAGTCATCACTCTTGAGTGGCAACTTCTGCTTAGCCGTTGCCCCTTTCATCCCTTCTACTAGGCTGGGGCGTCTTGTGGGAGCTGGGTCACGTCAGCCTCAGCCGGCATCCTCGGCACCCGGAGGCAAGTCTGGCACAACACCCTTGTTGGTTACGTGGGCCGTGGATGGCGCGGCTCCCTCTCAGCGTGCTGACTGTCCAGCCACAGCGTCCCTTACAATTTCACCTTGTGGTTCCAGCCATGGCTATTTCTGAATTTCCCAGAGCATGCCACCTGGTATTAAAAAGCCTTGTGTTTTGTAATGAGAGAAGAATCTAAAGAAAAAGTTTCTCAGGGAAAGGTAAAGCTCGTTGACAGTCCCAGCTGGCTGCTATCAGATTATCCTCTGAGATTGGGTTGTAACAGAAGGCAAACTAGGCATCAGGGGCAGATGAGATTAGACAGAGTGTCAGGAAAGCGAAAGATAGGAAACACCTAGGTCCACTTGAGGCTGACCTCGATAGGCGTTTGGAATTTGTCACCAGAGTGCATGACAAATCTCATGAAGATAAAACGATCTTAATCTTACTCAGACCACATTGATTTGATTTTAGAAAGATCTTTGACACCTGCTGAGTCCCCAGGAGGAGTTAAAGTCAGCACCTGCAGAGAGAGAGACGCCCATTAACAAACCTGGGTGACATGTAAACTTGACTCTCCATCTGTAAACTGGGCCTCTGAGGGCCTTTCCCCATTCAAACTGCTCAAGGCTCCATACTTCTTTAGCAGATCCTTCCAGAAGCTGGAGGCCTTTCTGCAGAGCTCCTTGTCTTTGTTTCTCTGGGCAGCGTAGCAGAAACAGCTGGAGAGGCAGATTCCGAGGCAGAGGAGACAAAGCCCCGGAGGCAGGGGCCTCGCACTGGCCTACCCGAGGACTCTGACAAGGTCCACTCCCAGCGATGCCTCCCGAGGTCGCTGCAGCCTCTCCCCGCACTTGGCCAGGCCGTGGCCCCTCAAAGCGCTTAATGGATTAATTAGTTCCTCGTCAAACTGTTGTGGGGATTAATTAGTTAGCTAATCCCCAGGGGCCCTCAGCCAATCCTCTCTGTCCATTTATTTTTTTTATTTACCTGTCCTAGAGCTTGCCTTCCTTGCTGATCACCCTCGGGCGGTTTTGCAGGAAGGAGAGGAGACAGGACAGAATCAGACACCTGCCTTCTCTTAATACCATGGGCTTGTTTTGAAAAGGGACTCCTGGGAATTCTGACACCGCCCCCCCCCCCGCCCCCATCAGCCCTCTAGTTGGTGATAGGATCTCTGGGCTGTCACCAGGTCCTCTGAGGGGAGGGGGGCACGGTTTGCACCTGTACTTGTGACTCCTGCATGGGTCAGCCCCAGCCGAAGGCCTTGCTCTCTGCACCTCACCTCTGGCCTAGGAGTGGCGCCATTTTTGCTGAGTAGGTTCAGCTTCCCGAGCAACCTGGGCCTACCTGTTGCCCATTTGTCACTAGGCCCTCAATTCCGGGAGAAAGCCACCGAGAGGACCCAGCTTGCCTGCCCCTCGACAGGCCCCTCTCGTGCCTGCGGGACGGGGGATGAGTACTGATGGAGGTCCTGGCTCACCAGCTCGCCCTCTTTTTTCCCACCCCCTGGCCCCACCTCTCCCTGGAAACCTTGCCCACGTGGTTCCCAGGAGCCCCGCCCTTCTCTTCTGCCCTAGCAATAGGCGGGCAGGCAGCTCAGTGGACCCTCAGGGTGACAGACAGGTGCAGAGGCCAGGGCTGGCCCCGGAGGGCGTTTAAGCAGGAAATTTGGGGTCCTAGGCAGTCGGGGTATGGTCTAAAAGAGGGTGTGGGCTCTCGGTGGGCCTGTCCCTTTGGCCCTGCAGACTTCTCATTCCATGTGAAGGAGGGTGGCCTGAGAAGGGACAGAGGGGAGCTCTCTGTCCAAGGCAAGCGGCCCAAGTTGTCCGCCTAAAGCAGCTGTGGGTGCGGTCAATGCTGTGGCCAGAGTCCTATAAGCTCCATCCTTCCAGAAGGACAATGCTACTGACCATCCTTCAGCAAACAGGCGCTTCTGGGGTGGCTCTAGACTGCAATCTGTTTCCCTGGGCTTCAGCCTGGGCTGGGGACACCTTATGACTAATCCTAGGAGGTCTGTATTAAGTAGGACAGGGCCGGTGAGTGGCCTAGGACAAAATGAAGGACACTGGAACAAAACCCGGACCCCCAGCCTCATTAGCCTTGGGTCCTCCCCGAGTGAGCGAGCTCAGGCCGAGGACAGGCCAAGGGCCAGGGTCCCATTCGTATTGCGAAAAGCTGCCGTGGACGCAGGCTGCCGTCCCGCAGAGACGGCCCATGACAATGAGGAGATTATGGGGTTTGCAGTCGGGAGACCTGGTTCGGGTCTCAGTTCTGTCATTCTCCCTCCTCCTGACCTTGGACAATCGCCTTGCACTTCCGGTGCCCAGTGGGAGGGCCCCTGAGAGGACGCTGAGCAGACTGAAGGAGACGTTGTGAAACGGACTTGTAAACTTCTAAGTCGGGAACAAACGGGGCCCGTGGTTATTAATATTTTAGAGGAAGAAGGGCAGGTTGGTGTCAAGGTCCCTGCTGCAAGGGTCCCTGGGATACAGGGGGCATGGACAGAGAAACAGGGGGTGGGGGAATATTGGTCCTTAAGAGAAAGAGCCGGGGGAGAGCAAGCACTTAAGGAGACTAAGTGGGATTTACACAGAGGACCACGGGCAGCCTCAGGTCCTCCTGCCTCAGGAGCCACCCTGCAGATGGGACCTAGTCTGCAGCCCAGACAATGAGTGTCTCGTCCAGTCTCTCTGCTGCCCACTGGCAGATCTTAGGCTGGGGAGACCAAGGGTATTTTGACACCGTTCACACATCTAGGAAAGGCAGTAATGCCTCATTGAACCCCACAAATATAAATGCGATTACAGCCAAAAGGAATCAAGGCCGGGGGCGGGGAGGTGCTGAGAACCATGGCATGGTGAGTGAGTGAGTGAATGAATGAATGAACGAACGAAGTGAACCGGCACACAATTAGGGAGCTTATAGGCTACACTGTGTTCCTAGAGGGTCTGTTTCAGAGGTCTTCTCATTTCTAGAAATCTTACCAATTTGGTATATTGTTTAATACAGTTAAGAGCTAATTATTGTTATGCTGGCTGACCAGACTCAGTTTTAATCTCTTGGTTTTTAACCAGATTTATAATCTTAATCACCAGGGCTGAATGCCCCATTACTTAAAGAGCCCCGTATCCTGCCTTTGTTCTCTGTGACTGATTTCCGACTTTTCACTGAAGGGTATGCATGGCCCTGGATCCAGACTTCCTATGTCCTGGATCTCAATAAACTGGCCTTCACCTTGCAGCAAAGTTGAGAGACTATGACAAACTATCAAGAAGGTTATATAGTCAGAAAGCTGGGTGTTCACCAAACGCTCTGTTAGAGTCCAATCAATCCAACTTGGTGTTTAAGCAAATACCAGTGTATTTGATACTAGGCAGATTTGATTTGTTTGGGGTTTGTTTATCTATTTTGGTCTACAGGATACCAAACAGCTAGATTAATGGATTTCTTCCACTGTGGTTGAGCTGAACTAACATTTGCTATTTCCAGATTTGTGGGGATCATGGACTTCAAGTCACTTGCCTTCATCAGCCACCCCTCACTGTCCTGGCTGTGAGTGAGGGTGCTGCTCTGGCCTCTTAACAAGGTGACAGCGACCCCTGGTCCCTGTTCTGCCAGGGCTCACAGACCTTAGGAGAGTGGGACTGTAGAGCGAAGAATACAGCCAGTCAACAAATACCTGTTCCATAGCAAGTGCAAGCCAGCAAAGTAGTGGGGATCTGGGCCAGACCAGGGGACGTAGGCCTGAGGTTTGGGGGATCCAGGCTCCGGAAGACACTCATCCTTGTTCTGACTAGTGGCTGTGGAAGGCCAGAGCCAGGTTCATGTTCTGTCCCCTGGGACAGTGGTCCTCAACCGTCTCTGTACCTCTGAAACGTAGAGAAATACCGATGACCAGGTCCCAACCCCAGAGACTTGGCTCTCATGGTCGGTGGCGGCCGTCCAGACAGCAGGACTTTCAAAAAGCTTCCCCTGTGATTGTGGGAGTGGGGTGAGAGCCTCGTGCCAGGCTTGCTCGCTGCTCCTTCTGCTACATCCCACTGGCCTTTCCTCTTCAGCTACATCACGAGCCCTCCGCACATCTGCATGAGGACAGTTGCTGCAGATTCGACTTCTGGAATGATAGGCGTCCGTTTCCATGTTAGTGTTGATTGAGAGTGTGCATGTGTAGGGCCCTCCGTGGAAGGAGAGTGTGGAGAACCAGCTTGCACACCTTGCACTTCTTCCTGCACGCAGGCATCCCACGGAGACTCACTCTTCAAGGCCGCTTCTCCGAGTCTGTCACTTACAGATGAGGAAACCCAGGTCTGGTGAAGATGCTGCATTAAGGTCACTCAGCCGG